GGCGGGCCCGGGCTGGGGATTCGAACCCACCACCTTAGGTGTATGTGGCTGGCGCCTTAGCCACTTGAGCCACAGGCGCCGAGCCTACTTTTGTTTCTCTGAGAGATGAGTCTTGCTATGTTGCTCAGGCTGGTTATGAACTCCTGGGCTCAGGTAATTTTCTCGCCTCAGCCTCCATAGTACCTGGGACTACAGGTGTGCACTACCATGCCCAGCAATTAAGTTTTCTTTTCAATGATTAACAACTCAAGATGAAGTTGTTTGTGTTTTCCCTTCTTCAAATTAAACTATTATATCTATTACATTTCAGTTTTATTCTGAAAATAACATCATCATGCAATAAGCTATAGCAACTGAAATAAAAAAACACATACAATAAAAAAGCATCCCGAAATATTAAACATACTTGGCTGCTTCTCCAGAAGCTCTTGGAACTTCTTCCTTTCATATTCAACTGACTGCTGCATGAGATGTGGCCTAATGCTACTGACTGCAAAGTTCGCCATGTCCACTTTCATTAGGTCCAACACAGAAAAAATTGCTCTAAAAGAAGAGATAAAAGGATTGAGAACTAAACATTTATAAAGTAAAAATAGTTTTAAAGGTTTTGTTTTGTTTGTTTGTTTTGAGTCAGAGTCTCACTCTGTTGCCCTGAGTAGAGTGTCATGGCATCATAGCTCACAGCAACCTCAAACTCTTGGGATTCATGAGATTCTCTTGCCTTAGCCTCCCAAGTAGCTGGAATTACAGGCACCCATCACAACACCTGGCTAGTGTTCTATTTTTAGTAGAGATGGGGGTCTCACTCTTGCTCAGGCTGGACTCAAACTCCTGAACTCAAGTAATCCACCCACCTTGGCCTCCCAGAGTGCTAGGATTATAGGTGTAAGCCACAGCACCAGGCCAGTTGTAAGCTTTTTTGAGATATTTTTTTCATCTCAGAAAAAGTAGCAAGAAAACTTTTAAAATTACAAGAAAAGTAGATTAAGAGGCTCAGTGCTTGAAGCTCAGTGGTTTTCAAACCAGAAATGTGACGCCACAACACTCTACTGAGGACAACATAGTGAGACTGTCTCAAAAAAAAAAAGAAAAGTAGATTAGGAAAAAGATATTTAGACAATATGAACACTCAAAATGATAAAAAATTGAAAAATTGTAAATTTCTTTTTCTTTTTGAGACAGAGTCTCACTTTGTTGCCCTTAATAGAGTGCCCTGGTGTCACAATTCACAGCAACCTCAAATTCTTGGGCCCAAGCTATTCTCTTGCCTCAGCCTCCCAAGTGGCTGGGATTATAGCCACCCACCACAATACCCAGTTATTTCTTAGAGACGGGTCTTGCTCTAGCTCAGGCTGGTCTCAAACTTGTAAGAATTGGTGATCTGCCAGCCTCAGCCTCCCAGAGGGCTGGGAGTACAGGATGCCCAGCTATTTTTAGAGACGAGGTCTTGCTCTAGCTCAGGCAATCCACCAGCCCTCGGCCTCCCAAGTGCTGGGATTACAGGCATGAGCCACCATGCCTGGCCAAGATTGTAAATTTATTTTTCTTTCTTTCTTTTGTTTTTTCCTTTTTTGAGAAAAGTTCTGGCTCTGTCACAAAGGCTAGAGTGCAATGATGTGATCATAGTGCACTACAACCTCAAACACTTGGGGGCTCAAGTGATCCTCCTGCCTCAGCTTCCTGAGTAGCTGGGACTTAAAAGCACATGTCACCAGGACCAGCTAATTTTTAAATTTTTTGTACACTCAGTCTTGCTGTGTTGCTCAGACTGTTCTTAAACGCCTATCCTCAAATAAATCTCCTATCTTAGCCTCCCAAAGTACTGGGATTATAGGTGTGAGCCACGGTGCATGGCCTATCAGTTTTTTTTTGTTTTTTTTTTTGAGACGGAGCCTCAAGCTGTCCCCCTGGGCAGAGTGCCGTGGCATTACAGCTCACAGCAACCTCCAACTCCTG